TACAAGTTCGCAAACATTCGGTTGTTTCCAGTAACGGAATATTCGTAAACAACGACTGAGCGTCAAATGACGACATCCATCTGTTGTTAAGGTTCACTCTTGTTATCTTCTCAATGAACTCGAAAGTGTCTTTCACACAGTAATGGCATATGTATTTAAGCAGCGGTTCCAGCTTCTCAAACGTTCATTGAGCTATCGACTGTTGCGGAGAGCTAACCATGTCCAATAGGGGACGCATTGGAGCGCCTTCCTTGTGATCTTTTGGGAGGCCATACAACGGTTGTAGATGTCCGCTTGAAGATTTCAGCTTTTTGGAATTAAACATTCTGATTAATACGCAGCCCTATTCGGTGCATTCAGTAACTTCTCGTCACCATGTAATGCTTGAGTCTGATGAAAATTACCGAAAAGAATTCTTTACTCAGCATCTGCTTCCCCTGATTTATTCTGTTAAATGGGACTTTTTGGATTGCTGAAGATCAGTACCATCTGTGATTCAGTCAGGCTTTTTAATGAGTATCTGTTCAGTGCTCGGTATGAGGAGGCTGAGGTTGAATTGAGTTTCTTCAACGTGTGCTTACGGTCATGCCGGTATCCAAAGCACTTTTGGAGTGAAATACGCCAATATGCTATCTTTCCGAATGTGCGCAAGTTGAGAAGGCACACACTCAACTGTATGGATAACATTCACACGAAACTATCGGAGCTGTTAAGATTCATCTTACAACGTATACATGCCGTCATAGGCCTGTCGGAAGAGTTCCGAAGGCCTTCTGAATCATACGGAGAACGAGTTAAAAAGCAAAGGGGTGCACAGAGAAGAAATAAGTAGCTTAGCTCGTTAAATATCCAAGTACCGCAACTAAACTTTCCGAATAATCCGGATCGGTACGTTTTTAATCTTTCTAGTGTCATGCTTAGCCCAACACAACTGTTTTATCATTAGGCCCGAAGTTTTGCACTCCTTGCAGAAAAGTTAACCAGGGTGCATTAGACGTGCAGTATGAGATTTTAACAGCGTAGGCGTGAGACCTGTCAACAAACTCGCCAAGTAACGTTTAGAACATGTTATCCAGCTTAGTAAACACCTGCCATGATAACAGTAAGGTTGGATCAGCCAGTAATGGTGTTTTTACAAGTGAACAAATGCAGCCACATAAAGAGTTACGGTTAAACAAAGAGTTAATTATCTCTAAGCCAGATAAGGGTTTTGGTATAATTCTAACGCATGGAACTAATTATGTCCGTAAGATGCAACATAATCTTAATGATGAACGTGAGTTGAAAAAGCTAACGGTAGAAAAGGAGAACACAGAAAAGTTAGAAAAATAATACACTGGTTTGCCCCGACGAATCATAAAAGCGAATTTATCATAAAATGCGAATTCGAAAAGCTGAGATCTTCAGGCAGACATCTACCACGGTTGTATGGCATCCCTAAAGTTCACAAGGAAGGCGCTCCAAGGCTCCCGTATTGGACATGATTAGCTCTCCACAACATTTGATAGCTCAATGGATACTTGAGAAGCTGGAACCGCTGCGTAAAAACATCTGCTCTTACTGCGTGAAAGTATTATAACGTCTGACTGTAACTGAACCCACTCCGAACGGGAAGCAAGAACACCACCGTGCGGGACGAGCTGTATTGAAAAACTGACAAAGCTGAGCAACCGGGATGTAAAAGATCAATAGATCAATTGGCCAACCACATGAGAGGACATATTCATGGATAATGAGTGGTCTAGTTCTGCACGACTGTCGTGCGTGTGTCCAACACTATCACGAATGTCAACCTATCTAGCTGTGAGCGACTGTGAAGCGCAAGCCCGTCTACTAGAAAGATTCCTTCGAGTTCATTGAGAAGATAACAGGAGTGAACCTTAACAACAGATGGATGTCGTCATTTGACGCTCAGTCGTTGTTTACGAATATTCCGTTATTGCGAACTTGCACGACAACTGAATGTAGCTCTAAATCTCCCGGGAAATCTTCTGAAGGAATTGTTACTCAGATGCACCTTAAACGTGTAGTTCACCTTCAACGGGGAGATGTATCGTCAAATTGATGGAGTTGCCTTGGGATCACCATTGGGACCCCGTCTAGCAGATGTTTTTATGGCAAAATTGGAGCATAGCTCAATAAGAATGCACATCAACGAAGTGGCGATGTATATACGCTATGTGGAGGACACATTTATACTCTGCAAATCGAAAGCGCAGGCTGTAAAACTGTTTGGAAGCCTTTGATGATGTGTATCGGAACCTATACTTCACATGTGAGCACGGTTCCGGAAACCGACTACCGTTCCTGGACGCTGATATCATCAGAAACACCGATAGATCGAGCAGCAGAGCAGTATATAGAAAACCAACTTGAACTGAACAGTACACCAACTTCTATAGTGCCGTATCCCCACAGTACAAACGAAATCTAGTCCGCACTCTTGCCTTCCGGGCACACAAGATTTCCACACCGCGCACCATCACCAAGGAATTGCAGAGAATCGGTGACGCTCTAAGAGCGAATGGGTATCCAGATAAATTCACCTTCAAACATTTGAAAGAACGCAAGATAAAACCACGGAGGATGAATGTACCCAAGAAAGTACTAAGTGTGCATTTTCCTTTCAAAGGCGACAGTGCGGATGATGCCTTGTCCAAAAGCCTGAAAGACGCTGTTGAAAAGACTTATTTCCTGGCTAGCCTACGCCAAGTATACTACAACAACCCTTTCTTCGTAAAACCATTGAATGACAGGCTGCTTCTGGTGACTCGATCAATGCTCGGTTATCTTTACTCTTGCTCCTTTGGTGCATGATACATGGGTCGTACTATGAGGCGCCTACCTCATAGGATTCGCGAACACATTCCGAAGTGATATTGCAGATGCGAAGCGAGGTCTTGTAACAATTGCATCTTGTCGCACATCTTAGAGTGCGGTCACGCAGGGATGGAAAACGACTTCAGCGTCATTTCTACTATCCCTGAACGTTCTTCGCGTGAATTTCGGAAGCATCTCCTATCCATTGCGGAAGCTATCTATATGCACTGCCTCAAGCCAGAGTTGTGCGTACAAAAACAGTTTGTACGTCTTTTACTTTCATCATGGCCTGCAACTTCTGTTGTGATTTCCCCTGTACATAATTTGCCCCCTGCAATGTCCTCGTGATTTATTGATTTGCTCCCGTTGCAATTAAACCTTCTGGTCAATACGCAGTCTAATCCGGCGCATTTAGCACCTTATCGTCATCATGTAATGCTTGAGTCTGATGAGAGTTACCGAAAAGAATTCTTTACTTGGAATCCGCCTCCCTGGATTCATTTTGTTAAATGGGATCTCGCCTTTCGAAATGCCACTGCTAGCACGGAGCCTAGAGGGTCCGTTGCCGGTCAATGAAATGGACACTAAAATTTGCGAATACCATATTTGAATGCGTTTAACTGAAGTAGTCGTCTGAAAATGTGTCTTATTGCGCTACCGCCATCAATATTCCTCATTTTCTTTAAGTACTTGAGCTGCACTGTTACTGGTTTTATGCCACCCAACGACAACCGCACGAAGATTATTCCACTTTGCTGTATCCATCTACTTTTTGGCGTGGCCAAGCGCCTCGTCCTTCCACTTTTGTGACCAATTTCTTCGATCAGATTAGAACCGATTACTTTCGTCAAACTGACGATGTCGATTCGCAAGTTGTAAGCACCCACTAAACGCTGACTGTTCATTGCAAGCTACTTCCAAATGTCACGAAACCTTTATATGATTATGCTTCGGATTAGCCTTGGCATACATATTGCCAGTTGATAGCGTTTGGGGTTTATTAAGCAGTGTAATGGTTCCTTGACACACTTGTGGGCGACTGCGTATGACGTGAAATCCGCACTTATCCAGAGCGCAATTTCTCTCTGTACACACCTAGGCGTCCCATGCATCCACCTCATGCCGGGCCGGAGCGATCGTTAAGCCTTTTCGGCATGGGGAACACGTCACTTTCTCCTTCGATTTTAGGCCAATTGGTGATTTACGATCTAGCAAACTACCGCCGATTTCCAGGCTTACGCACACACGTCATGCGTATCTTCCTTAATCTGACACAATTGAGTGGCTTTAAGTCTCTTGTTGCACAAGAGTCAAGCATTCTCGTGGTGCATGTTGAACTCACATTATATTGGGGTTGTCACAGCCCTTAGTAAAATTGCGTCCATTCAGTCATCTATGGACGCCTCTTGTTATGGGAGATGTGGTCTGACACCGAAACAATCACGGCTGCCGTCCGCATGCATCCTGGTCCAGTCTGGATATGAGAAGTGTTGAGTAATCCATGTGTGAACCAATGCAAGTCAATGGTGGTTCGCTTGCCTACTGTTTGCGGTCACAAAGAGGTAAATCCGGAAACAATTGCCAATTATCCTGGGGACGGAAAGAGTTCTGTTATTCATCCATCCTATCTGAGTAGTATGTCTGCAGAAGTAAGCTGACTCATCCATATATTAAGGCATTTCCTTCAGTTACCCTCTTCATATTCATCACTAATTGCACACTTTCGGGTATTCTACATATTCTACCCAGGTATTCTATTCACTGTCTCTTATACACCTTTTTGCGGTTATCACAGGTTGGACCGGTTAATTTCACATACTATCCACACACACACATTGCTTTTTTTCCTATTTCTTCTGCGTCACTCAATTCAGTCCTATCTGACATTATGCTTGATGTATTTTCTGACGAAAAATTCAAATTTTACCTGCCCGAATAGGTTGGTCTTCACGCCCATATCGATTCACATCTTGAGTGCAACGAAGCACACAAGTACTCAGTGACCGTTTTGGCCTGTAAAACGAGCTTTTGAATTTCGTGGCTTTTTTTGCTATCACTTTGACGGCTGTACGTTGGGAAACAACACATGTAGCTAATCAGATTCCTTCACAGAACCTATGTACCCGTCATTTAGATGCCTGTCTTCTGGCGTTTTAACAAGCCCATCTGTCTTCTTGTAGCTCCTTCGTAGTTTTTCTCGTGTTGGTCAGTGTTGGATGGATTCCAGTGGTTCAACAATTACAAGGAAGTCAACTATTTATTTACATCCAGGCCGTCAGTGCGTATCTCGCTCCACCAGTGGCTGCAGTTTATCTGCTCGCGGTGTTGTGGCCCCGTGCAAACGAGATGGTTAGTTATTAACCTCCCTTGTATCTCGGTTACTTTTTATCGTCCCTAGCGTCATGCACACTGCAGCTGTGATAATTTCCTTATACCCGATAAACAAGTCATGTTTTGCTTTTGTGCGCAGCCTTTCGCTTCTAGCGGCTGTTGAGCTTCATATTTCGTAACTCCTCGTTTCCGGCTTTTCTCCACCATTTCCCCCTGTTTTGACCAACCTGTCGTGTAATTGAATTTGTTCTGTAGGGCGCGTTCTTTGCACTTGTGTTTGGACTGTTTCTTGGAATCGCCCGGCTGATTCTTTCAGTGATTTACAGTGATCCAGTATGCGGCGAACAGGACACCCGACCATGGTTCGTTGGCCAGTTGCACTACATGTACTTCGGTTTGGGGTCTTTCTTTGCCACTGCGCTGATAGTGATTATCACTTCGTTTCTCGGACGCAAACCGCCTCCAGAACAAGTCAATCGGCTGACTTACTTTACTGCATGGGATGCACCTGAGCCACCGCAAGAAGTGTTGCATGTCAGTGATTATAACGTGCTTGAGAAACTTCACTCACCTGGAAAGAATAAGCCGATCCAAGATTTCCCTGAAACAATTGGTGATTTTTGTAACGCCCAGCCTGGCAAAGGAAATTCAAAGAACTCTCAGAAGCTCAACCAGGCAGTGCTTTCCGATTGGAACAGCTTCGGTAGGTAGTATGATCATTGTGAGCTTTAGCTGCGTTCAATGCGTATGTTGTCAAAGTGCCCCCTTATCCGCCGCCGCCCCCCCCCTCGGTAACTCACTTCAGAAAACCGCTAATCACTACTGGAGGAGACGGAATGCGCTGTCTTCGTGACAGCGCTAGGCTCAAAAAGGGGTCCTTTTATGGGAAGGGTTACTGCCTGTCACCACCCCCCATTGTATCCGTCTGGTAAATATGCTCCTCCATATTTTACATCCGTAAATAATCTACATGCACCGCTTTAGCGTAAACGTGAGTGAGCGCTTCTTCGCGATGTGCCCAACAACGACGGTCTGAGTGTCATCGAAGTCCTGAGGTAGTGTTGCGTGCATTCACCTACCCAATAGGTGAAATACCTGTCGAGAAATGCACCAGCTCATTTAAATAAATAAGTAAATAAATTTGTGTATTTACCAACAGACGATACACGGCCCCATAAGTGGAAGCGATCATTTGCTTATTTATTTACTTAAGGTGCCGTACACCGTCTCTGAAGGAATTGTGGTCCTCTTATGTATGTTCCTCTTTCTGATTTCTTCAGGTTCCAACTATATGGTATTCCCGAGTGAATTGCTGCCAGGCATTCAGATTTCACGTTTATTTACTGGCCATCTCTGTGCACTCGCAGTCACATTGCCATGAAAACCTCGAAATGGATGCCACCACCACTAAATAACCCCACACTAGAATCCGACCAACCCTTGCTAGGTCGTTGTTGCGCGCTTAACAAGGTTTCCATCATCCGTCCGCTTCGCTCTAATTCCTACAATAAGCTGCTTATTACAATCATGACCTAGGCTTAGCACTAGACTCGGAGAAAGTTAGTTGGAACTTTGTCCGTTTCAGTGTTTGGTTACGTGTTGGCATTTCCGGTCCCCTTGCCCTTGGTAAAACCAATTAGAACATTCCACCAAGCATCAAATCGACGGGCGCCATGTAAGTGTCGTAGGTGTAGCGATCCGCGAGTTTTGTCACTTGTTGAACAGTCAGACAGATCGGTACTTGGTGGCGGAGGTTTGTTTGCGGTTCTAAGTGGTACAGCAGATCAATCGAGGGTCCTTTAGAAGCGCGGTCGCATGACTAGTTTGTCTTGCTTTTCCTACCACAACTTGTTTTATTTCCGTTTTCAAAAACCACGTTTCATGGTCACACTTTGCTTCCTGCGTATCAAGCCTTCTGAGGTCCATTAGTTGTTCCAAGTCCGACGTTCAGCATACCCATGCTCATACTCCTACTAGTTTATTTCCTTTTTAACGTTCAGTCGCCCTTCACACACGCATCCGGACATTTACCTATTCACTGTAGATCGAAATATCTTTAAGTAGCCGGTAGTTTCGAATAACTAGTATATTGTTGTGTGCCACATACAGGGAGATGATTGGGAATTTTCGCATATCAACAATCTTATTTTCAAATTGCTTCTCACAGTAACGGTTCGAACGACATCCACACCAGATCTTGGAAACAGATGTGATTGTTACTCCGGTCCAGGGATATGCCTGCTGCATGCACTGCGCTGGTTTTGCGGTTGTGAAGACCGTCCCTGTAACCCTAGCGACGAGGCACGATTCCTTGATTGTATCTGCTGTTGCAGGCGCAAAAGCGTAGAGGCTACCGAACCGAACACTTATGAGCACGATCTCGCCGAACAACATGCAGTCCAGCCCCAGAGAATATTCAGTCTTCACCAGGATCCAAAAGAGAAGGTACTGCTTTACGTCGGTCTCTTCATCATACTGACTCTCTCGTCATTTGGATTCATTTTCTTTTCTGTCTACTTTGACCTCGTGAAAGCCGGTCCGCTTTTCGTGAAACCGTTTTCTAATATCACTCTGTCGCCGAACGTCACGGAGGCACTGGAACGCCTCTTAGACCTTGGCATTGTCTCTAATCTTACATACTATCCAAGGCTTTATACATCACACCTTTGAATTTCAACTCGCTATTTTTTGACTATGCTCATGATCACAGTTTTCAGCGGTTCGAAAACTATGACTGTTGGCAGTTGTACCCATTTTCTTCGATTACGTTTTGGTGCTAGATCCGATATTTTGGTGACGTTCCCTGATATATTTTGTGTCTCTGGATTGTTTTATGAATTAAAAACCGTACGCTGTGACTTGTCTTTCTCATCGAAGTGCCAAAATTTCCCGTTTTAAGACCATTTTTATTTTACATTTTCATTTTTTGGGTCGTTTCATACTTCCATTCTTTCATGAGACCGCAAATTGTTCATAACATGTGGGAGAAGTTGTGCCTCCTATCCACTGCTGAAACTGACCCTGAGTTCAGCCATGCTTTTACGCCACAGAACGGTTTTTATTAAGCCACCCACTGAACAATGTTTCTCCAAAAGACATCTTGGCCTATGCATTAATACGTCGGCCGGTGGCCGACTGGTCTTCGCGTTTGCTTTGCAACCATAAGGTCACCGGTTCGAATCCGCGTAGGGGTGGGCGTCGTCACGGTATACTCAGCCCGCGCGCGACTGGTGGTGGTCGCGCGGCAGCGAAGCGCCGTTACGTCATACAGCTGACACATTATTACTTCTTTAGTTATTATTGCGACATCACGACGCGTCTGTAGTTGCTTGATACCGCAGGAAAAAAACAATGGAGTCAACTCATGAGGTCAGGATACGTTTTTTATCCGTTGGGTCCGGCTGCATACAGGGTACCCTCACAAACGGTAGCTGAAATCAGTGGTGTGTGTATTGTTGATCTTACATTTATTATTATACACACATTATATATTATTATATATACATTATGCATTATACATCATGCATTAATACGACAATTTACTAACTTCATGCAATGGTGGGTTTCATGCTGTTAATTTTCCGCTTCGGTCTTGTGTTACTATCACTCCGACGAGCATGTGAAACTAAAACTTTGCGTCGCTCAAGTACCTGGACAATTCGGTAATGTCCATAGTATTCATTAACTGGGTGAATTCAACTTCATTTCAATTCAAGAAAGCGAATTTACGCACTAAGTGACACATTTTAAGCTGTCACACACGACCCTACTGCATCACAAAAAGAACGAAGCCTAATACAGGTCATCCAAATATTGATGGTTAACGGATATCATAAACAGTAGTATGGTCAAAGCTCAAACTTGCTACTGTATTCCAAAAGGATTAAATCTTGTTCACGCAAAATCCGCGTGGGACGACGAGTGATAAGCGCTTGCACGAGCATAAATGAATTTGTAATTTTGCCTGGCAGAGAGTTAATATACAATCAAGTTACATCATGAATAAGGTTACTTGGATAGGTGAGTATTTTAGGAGCAAGTCTTTTGGAAGAAATCGGATAACTAGACTCAATAATGCCAACAAGTTCGGCTTTGAAATGCCGTTACATTGAGACATTTGCTCCACTGACCTATCTGGTATTTTAAAATGCTTACTCAGAAAATCAGGGAATATCAAAGGGGAGCAATAAACACAGAGGGACAACACACAGGCGGCGATAAATTGCACTATTAATTGATGGGGCACAAAGGAGGATCGCAGTCGGCAGCATAGAAAGAAAGCTTAATTTTAGTGAATATTTCATTCACATGAAATGGCCAAGAGAGATCCTGGCTCTGTAGTGCACCCAGGTACTTCACCGACGTGGAAGAGTGCAACCCCTCACTATGTGGGTGAAATTCAGAGCATTCAATAAGAAGTTGCCGTTTATTCTATGTATAGAGAAAAGTAAGTTTTTGGTTTTAAGAAATTGAGCAAAACATAACTAGCTTCTGGACCCAAAGTAGACTTGTCCAAAAAAGGATTGTATCATGGCAGATGAGGCCATGGCCTGGTGTTCGATACTCAAAACCAAGGGACCTGCATACTTCAGCAAGATCGCTTCACTTGTGGTAGTTTATGGGTGAAGGTACCTAGGTTTGAAGACAGCGTGTCTGCTGGAAGGACACCAGTGGTCGGGGGAGCGGCGAAGTACTTTTACCCCACGTCGAATAAACTGGGCCTGTCTGGGTAAATAGTCTCACAGTAGATGTAAGGTAAAGATTGAATTCCGACATGTTATGGACCTCTCATGCGCATCTCAAGGTTCTCATAGCCGAATGGGTTATTTTAGTCGAAAAATATATCCGCTTGGATTTTGTCCTATCTTTCCAGCGCTGCCGGTATCAAATGTACGAATTAAACCAATGCGTCGTGCTTCGAACTGGAACCACGGTATACAAACTGAAGAGGATCATCCGAACGAGTTTCAGTCAGCAGCTTCTTGAGAATGATTTTCGCGAAGACCTATACAATAGCAAAATTGAAAACAACTGGCCGGTATCTATATGGGCCTTTACTTGATTTTGATGTATGCTAGCTCATCTCCAACTGTCAGCAAGTTTGTGTTCTTTCATGCATAATGTACCTAAGCAAGCGACTGGGCCAACGAGTCAGCGCATTACTTGAGGACGACGGGAGATAGTACGTGTGAATCATTTGCCGATAGAATGTAGCTGTACAGTTTCTTGTACACTGCATTTCTGTTGATGGCAGATAATGGGGTTTTAAGTCTGTCCAATCGGGTGGAAGAATGTGTCGGCGATAAAGTTGACACGGAAGCAACAAAAGTTTTGGTTCAATTTTCCCACGCCCACATCTGGATCCGACACTCGGTGAGAGACTGCACGCAGTTGGCACAGTATCTGCCAAACCTCAGGACGGCTATTATCTCCGAGTATGGTCCGGACGTATGTGTGGCCAAGACTACAAGTTTATCTTGATAGAAATAAGACACTGAATAACATTTTGTGTGTTGGGCATTGCTGCTGCTTCATCACTTAGCAGCGTAGGTTTTATCAGACGAACAACTTGACGCTACCTATGTGGTTTTTATTGCACGTCTCCAATGAGTCTTTTCCCCCCGAATCCAACGGTAGTTCACATGCGACCCATTGACTACCACTTGCATTGCGAACAACACGAAGCTCACACATATTACCACTGCTTAGTTTGCCACCATCACCACCAATCTACTTGTTCACTAGAGATGAGAGGTATCTCGTCTATCGTGCCGCAATACGCGTAAATTATATGACAACGAAAAACGGGAAATACTGCCCCTTGTCTCTATCACATTGGAGTGATGAAATCCTAATTTGAAGTGGAGGCCAAGCAGGATGTGAGTAAGAACGAACAGACTCAGAACAAATGTCACTGAAGTAGGCTGCTGGGCACATCAACAAATGCCCTCACCCAATCTTGCTTATCGTCTTTGAGTTTTCAACCCGGCAGTAGGAAGGTACCGCCTCAGGCCGCTCGAAGTGAGAACCTTCATTCTTCTTGATCAACACATCTGCTAACCCTCTCATTTTTCACATATACAGCGCGGTCACCTAAACAGCGCACGTCGCGATGTCGGTGTCATATCATGCGCAACGTATGGCTCAGTCATCGGAGCCGGGTGCGTGAAATAGCGGTGCTGAACGGTTCTCTTCCTGCACCACAAGCACAAAGGCAACCCCGGTCTCATTGCTCATGCGGTGTCCTGGCCACATACGAAACAAACTGCGAAGGCATCAGTGGTTGCACACAACTAGTGTCTCTCTGCGTGAGCAAGATTTCGCTACCGTACGAACAGCAGCCTTTTAGACTGCTCTTCATATCAGGCGTCGTATCACACCGGCGTCACAAGTGGAGAGGACTATTAAAATAATCTCGAGCTTTAGCTATACGGGTTGTGATCTCAACTACTATCATAGAGACGTTGATATAATTCCTCGGCTAGTTAAATTTCTACACAGCTTATGGCAGATCCTCATCAAGGGTCAGCGCAAGAGTAGTGTCTCCCGATCCTAGAGGAAAGTTTCGCAGTTGGAGGGCCGGAAACGCATACAGAAAGAAGTTGCACCTAGTGTTGGTTGGCTGGGAAAAGAGCTATCACAGGTGTGGGTAATCTCGTCGTCACACTCCATTACAAGAAAGCGATTATTTGGACGCAACTCTACATCTTCATAGTGGTATCAGTTGCATGCGGTTTCCACAACTCCGTCAATTGCCAAGTTAGTAAGTAAAATTAACAGCTAGCATCATTAACTCACGCAGACAGAGCTATCGGAGGACGGCGACGGTATACCATAAACCATCATTCTACACGAACTGAGCACGCAAAGCCTCCCTCGGTATCCAAAGGCCCAACAACGAACTTCTAACAGCTGTATCAAATGCTGCTCGCGGAGCTCTGGCTTAGTGACCAAGGCGTTGGCCACTACTTAACGAGTTCAACTCCCAATTCGGTTATCACTATACGATGGGTCCATGACAGTACGAAACCGTCGATCGTGGTGTGCAGGATGGGAGAGAGCAATACCGAAACCCTCCACTTCGGATACGGCCCCAGTGATCGAAACAGCAGAGGCTGACTTCAAAGTCAGTCGAAGGCACAGCTGAGATTGCGTGTCACAATCCAAGACACACAGCGGGTATCCTAAAACCCCGACTATCAACTTCTAACCGCTGTGTCAAGCTGTGCTCGCGGAACTCCGTGGTCTAATAATCATGACGAAAGCCGCCAACGACTATGTGCTGAGTTCCAATCTCAATTCAGGCTATCTCTACCTGAGGACTGCGAACCAGGACGGAACCCTCGGTCCTGGAGTGCAGGGAATGGAGAGTTCAGTTCCGAAACACTTCGCTTCGGATATAGTCCCAGTGTTCGAAATGGCGGAGTTTTGCTTCAAAGCTAATTGTGGCCTCCGCTGAGACTGCGTGTCGCAATCCACACCAACGATGGGAAGTTCATAATTCAACAAAGATCTTCTTGTAATATTTACGAACTTTTCGGGTACGTCTTTTTCAGTTAGACACTTCCAAATGGCACATCAGTTCACCGAATCAAAAGCATCACCGAGGCTCATCAACTACCCCAGCAAACTTTACTTTTGAGTCGTACAGCTACGATCCCCAACTGGCT